TCACAGTCCATAATTCCACTATCCCCCAGTCACTAAGGCTTGAAATCTTGCTGTCATGTCTGACTCCTCTCTTTTCTTCTCCCTCCAAATCCAGGCTTTTGACAAACCCTGTTGATTCTTCCTCCACAACCTCTCCAACCTTTCTTGTCCATTCCTTCCACTAAAACCCTGTGCATTGTTTGCTCATCTCTTGCAACTTCTCATACTCAGATTTCCAGTTTTCACCTTCAGTCTGCACACTAAATGCTGCAGCAAAAAGCAGCTCTCTCCCTTTCATTGCCCAGACTATGTCACTCCCCTATTTTAAATCCTTCAGTGACTTCCTCTTACTTTCAAGTCTCTGGTCTATGGCTTTGCTCTACACTAGGCGTTCTCAAACTTTGTCATAGTGAGTCTTCTTAAGCTAAGGAAAAACAAAAACCAATTGTGCCTCCCCATAGTTTACTAAAGACAACACAAACTGAAATTCACACTTTCCAAACCTAGATGTGAGCAGCCAACTAGGACACCAATCTGACTTGTATAATATGATCTGGATATAACAAGGCTCCCCCACCCTCCCCTTGGAATGGAAATCACATGGCAACTTGCACTGTAAAACCACTGCAGGCTCCTTGCCTCACCTCTTATTCAGATCTAGCAAATGATTCCCCCTCCCCAAAGCACAGGATCCCTCCATCCACTGCTCTCTCTGAGGCAGCAGGGTGCCTTGGCAGAATCTCTCCCTCCTCCCAGCCCCTTCTCCTCGCTACATGTTCTCTTTCTCTCTCAGGCTGACCGGACTGTTCTATCAGAAGCATGCCCAGGCCTCCCATGATTTACCTAGCATGGGTTTTCTGACTCCCATGCCGCCACCTCCTTTCCCCACGGGTCTGGCAAATGTCCTCCGCTCTCAGTGCAGGCTCCTTCCCTCTCCTGCAAAGAGGCAACCCACCTGGCCCCATCTACTAGTACAGGCTACCCCTCTATCCTGCACACAAGCCCGTGAAAAGAACAGGAGTACTTGTGGCACCTTAGAGACTAACAAATTTATTAGAGCATAAGCTTTCGTGGACTACAGCTCATGCGAAAGTGTTTACATTCCCCTCCTTCCCCCAGGGGTAGCTGTCCCTCTTCACTGATTTGAGGCAGGTCTTCCACCTTCCTCTCTGAGGCAGCCCCCAGAGCAGGGTCCTGTAGCCTTTTGATTAATTTGGGTGCAAACTGCATCAAATCACTAACAGGTCCTTTTCTCGGACAGCTACATGAAACTTTTAAGAGTGAGACTGGTGAGTCACATAAATAGAGACATGAAGACTTGATTTAAAATCCAAATAAGCAAGAGTATTAACCCAGTTGCACAAAAAGTGATACATATAACACAACAGTCCCTAGTGTTGTCATACTCGCAAGCCCCCGGAGACCACTGAAAACAAAGACAGAAGGAAATAGCCAGTGGAGTACATCACAAGTGGGATATAAGGATCCAGTTTACACTATCCTGTCAACCCAAAGTGCCCAGTGAAGGTTGGGCAAACATCCTTTTGATACACCTTTTCCTTTCATCCCCCACACAGCCAGGTCCATATCTGTGTTAGCTCTCAGCTCCCTGCCTGTATCTGGTATTCCAGAGGGGCCATAATTAGTGTTCCTATTTCTTACATAAGCTATTTGCGTCAATACATTTCCCAATGGTCTCGATAAGTCAATGCTGTTACACAGACCAAAAATCCCCCCAAACCTACTACTTTGGACTTGTTTTGCAAAACCTATTCAAATAAAATATGTTTTGTGTATCCCTAATTGCATTACAGCTTTAATGGCTTTTATTATTACCACTATCTTAAGCACGCTAGCATATATTGTGACCAGACAGCAAGTGTAAAAAATCGGGATGGAGGTGGGGGGTAATAGGAGCCTATATAAGAAAAAGACCCAAAAATCGGGACTGTCCCTATAAAATTGGGACATCTGGTCACCCTACTAGCATATGAATTATAGTTAAGTTTAGATTAGGGGTCAACTGTCACCACTCTCCTTCCCCCGGTCTCTGAGGCAGCCCCCAGTGTAGGCTTCCCACCCGACTCCCCAGACAGCACAGTGTATTCCCCTGCCTTCACCCAATTATTTTCATGTGGTGACTCTCTCAGAGGGAGGGAGGGGAGGAAGCAGTGGATTCCCACTCCTTCTCTCTCCCCCCTGATTGGCAGCTGCACCATGCCCACCAAATTAAGGCGCGAGGTGGACTGGTCTGATTGCCAGACCAGGAGATGCTCTCTCCCCTTCGCTCCAGCAGAGGGTGAAGGACAGGAAATCAGGGAACTGACACTTCCCTTGCCGCACAGGAGAGCTGAACCCCATTGTAGTTTGCAAACCTCTGCTCTCCACTATTCCTGCATACAGCTCTACCCTTATTTCTTCCTCATCCCCACTTCTCTCCCACAAATCCATCCAAGGCACCATCCCAACCACTCCTTCTCCCACTCGGGTTTTCATGCATTTTTCCATGCTCCCCCCGATTGGAAATTTCCTCCTCCTTGTGCAGCAGACAAATACCCTCTTCTCCTTCAAATCCTGTCCTTAACACATACTTCTTTCACAAGCCTTTAAATGAAAAAAATCACCAAAGGAACCATTTCAACGGTGAGGTCTGTCTAAATTAGAGAGTTAATTCCATGGGTCTGAGACAGTGCCTTCCTCTACGCCTTGTACGATTCAGGACACTAAGAAGCTTCTCAAAAAGGAAAAAGAAAAAAAGAAAAAACTAGCTTTACATGGAACATAAAATGCCAGGACACTTATTATTTTGAAGAAAAAAAGTCACAAAACAGGACCAAAATCCCAGCTTAATCCAGTGCTTAATTTGTAATGAAAGAGGTGCCGAGGCTTAAGGAATTTTTTTACTTTCATAACTGATGCAGCAAGTCCAGAGGTGCTGGGGCTATGAACTGCCAAACCTAGACGTGCCGAGCTCTGGCAAGGATTAAGCGTTGTCTTGATCATATTATTAATAATGCATAAACCCCGAGCAGATGACTCAGTGTACAATGCCACTCAGACCTTTGGTTTTGCACACTACGCTTTCTTTCAAGGGTGACTGAACCTTGAGAGATGAAAAATTAGTTATCAGGAGTTTATAGTTTGTCTTATGCTTTTATGGGTTGTATGACTCATACAATACAGCATGTTATCCCCCACACAGGCCAATTAGTCCTTCTAGCCACAGGAATTTAATTAACTGGTGTAAGATTATATTCCAGGGGTGGCCAACCTGAGCCTGAGAAAAAGCCAGAATTTACCAATGTACATTGCCAAAGAGCCACAGTAATTCGTCAGCAGCCCCCCATCCGCTCCCCAGCCCCAGCTCCTCCCACCTACCAGCATCCCCCAACCAATCAGTGCCTACTCCCCCCTCCCACCGCAATCAGCTGTTTCACATGCGCAGGAAGCTATGGGTGGGGGGGGGGAGAGGAGCGAGGGCATGGCAGACTCAGGGGAAGGGGTAGGGGCCTT